TTAATTGTTTGATGGATAAAGTTATTGTCGATCCTAGACGTAGTGTCGGATCCATAGGAATTTTGGAATGTATACTATGATACTAACTTAATAATCTTACTTCTCCGTTAAAACAATTCATAGCAGTTAAACAGCTAAACAGTTCATGTTACCTTATTATCATATGTTCACCACTATTTAAATATTAATTCAAAACTAATATTATATCGTGTAGAGTCTTAGTCAGCTTTGAATAGAGCTGCAATATATATTTATGTAAATGGATATGAGAAATGAATGGAACTATTCGTTTTAAATGAAATGTTGACTACAATGGTTAACTTAATCATGCACGGGATTATCTTTAGAGCACTACAGTTCGTAAATTATTGCGTTCAAATTTAAAATTTTAAGAATGCATAGGTATCTTGTGCAGAAAAGGCTATGAAAAGCTTAACAAAAGTAAAATAAAAATTTTATATAACACAAATCAAACTACATTGTCATTACCGTATTATCTTAGACTCATAAAATCATATAAATATATTATTAAATTAAACATTCGTATATAGTTTTTTATTGAAAATTGATAATTTACATGATCTAAATACATATATTAAATACGTATAATTTACGTATTAATTATAAACTATATTTATGAATATAATATTTTTAGTGTATATTTTACGTAATAAGTATATTTAACTAATGTTAATTACAATATATGACGGAATCAATTTTTTGTGGCGCATGTTTTCAATAAATTGATTTTACTTTATTGTTATATAAGAACAATTGCAAATATTATTGACATTGCTATAACAATAAAAACAGTTAAATCCTCTAAGTCACATAATTTAAACACATATTTTTTAACAAACTGTTATACTTGCATTACTTATTTCAATAATCCGTTTTAAAAACCGTTCTCAATCTATGTAATTGTAGAACACAAATGGATTTTTTCTCCGAACACTCACAAAAAGTTGAGTTGAACATTTCAAATTTGTTAGATTTCATATGGATTATTTTTTTTTTTATTTAACTAACGTGTATAAAATGATCTGTTTTTACTGGGATAACATTTGAAAATATAAAAATATATTTCAGTCCAAAGTTGAATATTCAAAATTAAATTAAAACTATACGTGATCATAATTATAGTATCGAATATCATTGTGAATTAAGCTGTAAACTTCAGTAAATTGCTTATTGAGAATATTAATATAATATATACGTATAGTTCGTAATTTGCTTACTTAATCATATTCTGTAACATGTTCCTAATCCGTAAATACAACGACTGTGAACGTTTATAAAATCATAAATCATCATGAGAGTTCTTCTACGAGGACATTATAATGATTAATTTTATACTTTTATACATAAGTTTTCGCTTTATTTTTATTGCCAGAGCTCAGATTTTAAAGTATTTAATAATTATTATAGGATACAGATAAAAGTAGCAGAGAGAGCTTCGTATTTATTTTATTACTGCTATTTATTACATATTTTAAGTAATTCATATTTTTACTACTATTTTTTAATAATATGCATAAATGATTCTTTATTTTGTGTTTTTCATAAATCTCATTTATTTATTTGAATGAAAAATAGAAAAAATATAATTTAAGTGAATCTATAAAAAAAAAAAAAAACCATATTTTCTTTTCGTATTAATTTATTAAACAATATAATTTTAATGACATTATAATTTATTTTTAGATAGCCCGACTATATCGAATATTGTTCATTTATGACTTCTTGTCTGTTTTATTTATATTTATTTTGTTATTGTTTAAATGGTAGAATGTACTGTGAGACTTATCATACAGGTACGTATTTTAACGTCAGCCAGTTCTACGTATTGCTTGGTTATGTTAATAAATTATAATTATTTATTACACGATTGTGTATTATTTGCTGTTTTGTTTCCTTATATAACGCAACATATCGAAAGATAAAACACCATACTATTCGAGACTTTGATATTTTGTGGCCGAGTTTGGCGAAGACGTTTTTTTAATCGATGCGAGTGTTCTGTATTGTAAATTTTGCGAGTGTTAGTTAATAGTGACAAGAAATGTAATGTTACGTAACACATAAAAACGAATAAACATATCAAAGCCATTGAACGAGAGCAAAATAAACAAAGAAAAAAAACAGCAACTATTTATAAAATATGGTCAACAAAAATCAACTTTCAATATCGATCTTTGCAAGACTCTTATTTCTGCAAATAAACCATTTGACAAGTTATCCAAGAAAATTTCCATCATTTTTAGAAAAGTATACTAAAAATAAATTTCCATATGAATGTAAATTGATCACTTTTTTTTTGTTGCTATTTTTTGCTATTTTTAATGTTTTTAGGGCATATTGTTGCCTATATTTAAAGATTTTTTTGACCATTTAATAGTGCATATTTCATAATTTTTTGTTTAAAATCTGAGCCCTACTCATAACGATCGCCATTTGAATTCTCACATATGAATAATGCTGTAAAAACGGACTTGGTTAAGATTTTTGTAAAATTAATATTTGCTATGCTTAGTGCTTATAAATATTTATTAAATAATATAATAAATTTAATTAATTAATTAAATAATAAATTATATTTAATAATATAATAATTATGTTCTTCTCCGTTTTTGTTTATTTATAAGCAAAATAATAATAATAATAATAATAATAATAAATTATTTATTTATTTTTTACCTTTTTTTTATTTTATTTTTTTTATAAGTGTGGGAACAATTTAATAATTTTATTAAGTATGTTTAGTTTTTTTTCACCATGTAAGAAATGGAATTTATTATGTTTCATTGAAAATTGTTACTGTGACAAATATTAATTTTTTAAAGTTGTATCAAAATACATCAAGAAGAATATATTGAATAAAATTTGATAAATTGAAGAAACCACATCGTATGAAGAGCAATAACATTAAAATAATTAAAATGTATTATAATTTTTTATATATTTTTTTTTTTTTTTTTGTACTTTTTCATGTTCTTATTTTCATCTGAATCTCTTCTCAAATCAAGCTATTTTAAACTATCCCAATATCATAAAACTGTAATATAAGATATAGATTATAATAAATCATATAGAATATAAAGTATCATAGTTTGAAATATTATTATAATGATTATTAAGGCTTGAATTTAAATATCCTAAAAATATCAACATAAATAATGATCCAAAAAAATTAATTTAAACATAATTTAATTTTTTTCAAACCACAAAAACTGTCTAAACTTGACCATACGTAGGAATCATGTCACTAACATATTCTTTCATGTATTTACGATGTCAGTCCAAACATGACATTTTAATTTTAATAATTATTATTTCGTTTATATGAAAATAAAATGTAAGAATTCGTATAATATGTAGCATGTGAAACGCACATGCAGTACCTTGGACGTATGTAACGATTAATTGTGAGCTCAAGAAAAACAACCTTTTGTTTTTTGGTCATAAATACGTACTTTACTAGAGTATTATATCATAATAATAATAATATATTTTTAATCACAAAAATTTAATAATACCGGACACGGCATACAAATATAATCCAATACTTATATAGTTATCAACCACCGTTAGTGCAGGCATTAATATGGATACCCGTATTCCACACACTAACAATAGTATGACGTACAATATAAAATAACAAAATATATAAATATAAGCTACCGTCAAATGCAGGCGTTAATACGGATAAACCGTACACAAATGGTAGTAATATAGTTAAAACTTACAGTAACCACACTGTTATTTGAAGATGCCCGTACTTTGATGACAGTTAATAGATGGGCGTCGCGTGTTTTGGTATTGCGGTATTGACCTTTAGTTTAATGATTCTAAGACGAAATACATTCATCTAGGGCGTAATACGGGTTAATGAGATAACCACACTTGTCCTGCCTCTTAAGCTCAGCGGTCTGATTACGACTTGAACGCTGCGTACCGGCCCTATTTCTACTCGTTGCGAGTAGAGGCTTGGTAGCAGCGCCTGAACTATTCGTGCATTTTTCTTTTATTTCTTTTCTGTAATTTTAACTAAATATTTTCTGTTCTTCGTACATAGGATTTGTTTTTAACTGCTAGAAATGTCCATTCATTTTCTATATCCTTCGTCCATTGACTGCCTAAGTAGTGATTAAACGACCAACGCTTATTCCTAGCACGGGTGGTTCGTCAGCGCGCTCTATTGTTACTTGCCCAATGTAGAGCGGCCGACAAGTTGATGTTTTTCGTACATACAGGCGTGAGTGGCGCTATCTCGTTACACGTAGTACGCAATATGACTAAACATTTTTAGTAAAAAGCTTGTAAAACATAGTGTGAAATATTTAAAAAAAAAAGATGGAAATATATTGAAATTCGATCTCTAACTACTATATTAAATTAATATTACTTACAATAGTTACTGACACTTTTAAGTGCTTAAAAAAAATTGACCTATTTGTAATTTAATTATAAAACTAAAATGTTTAGCAATGACACTTGAAAATTACCATTTAAATGTATTACCAATATTACATGTTTCTATCAAGATTAATTTACTTTCAATTGTTTTATGTTTTAATAAGTAAAATTAGTACAGGCTATAGAGTATAATTGTTTTTAGATCACATTTTATTAATCAAATCTATTTATCTAAACTTGTAATGCTTGTAAATAATAAATTTTTGTAAATTCGTTTATAATTTTTTTTTTCTTCGAATTTTCAAATCATGATTATATAAAACAATATATTTCTAAAAAACTATTTTTTAAAAGCACAGAATGAATGTCTAATTGAAGAAAAAAATTCACACTGTGTATAATTTACAAATTATTTCATCATAGAAAAATACATTTATATGTATTTTAATATTATAAATTTTATGAAGAGTTGAAAAAAATTGAATTCCTCTATTAATACTACCAGTTAACCTATCAGTTGAGATTAATTGCTTAATCACTCAATATATGTGAAAAATCAACGTATTGTTATTTTATGATTTCAGATCGGTAGTCCGGAAACCCTCAAGTATTCGACTTCAAATTTTTTGAAATTAAGTATGCTAACAGTCACTTTGAAATTAAATCAAAGCCATTTTAAAGACGGCCGAAAGCTTTTACTACAGTGTACTGCGCTAATAAATACACTGTACAAGCAAAGTTCTGAACTTAGGTTACCGATTAAATCAACAGAGCCAGTACCAGAAAAAGGTCAGTATTTGGTCTTGCAATGATGCTGTAAATGGTTTATTAATTATTAATTTTCCTAGAATATATTTTGAATACGAGATACGTAAATGATGATATAATGAGGTGCGTTACCCCAGCACCCTTATTTTCGAAAACATGAATTGTAATCAAACAATATTATGTACTTTATTTTGTACAATTTTGTACAACCCCCAAACATCCCTGAAATTTCAATTTCACCTTACGGGTGCTGCGGTAATTTTACCCCGGCACCCGGATCAATTATTTTTCACAAGTTTCAACTATAAACCGTTCAGTATTATGTATTTTATTTTGTACAATTCTCAAACCAGAGGTGGCTCGTGGAGTTCATAGAAGTTCGAGTACAAAACTCAAATATTTACCCTTTATTATCATTAATCACTATTATAGTTTACCACCTTTAACATCTGTTGGTAATTAATTTAACTCAATTTTTTGTTATGTAATAAATTATTTTCCGTTTTTTATAGGTTAATTCTAGATTCTAGAACATCTATGTTATTACTTTTTATTAAACTTTTTAGATTCTTAACGGAGTGATGAACGTGTTTATTTCACAATGATGTGTGCTTTTTTTAATTTAATTTTTATTATTGTGTCGGTCATCACGTTTTGGAGTAGTAATAGTGCTTACATTTTTGACTTCAGCCCATCTTTAAAAAGGAAATTTAATCTAGTTTATACTTTTGGTGGTCAAAAGTAAAAAATGTATAGTGGTTTTTAAAAGCTTCTGTAATAACCCTGAAAAAGTAACAGAAAATGGGAATTTTTACGTATAACCACTTTTCGACCGAATTCGAATTTTTGATTTTACTATAACTCAAAAGCGAATCATTGTAAAGACTTAAAATTTTAACCAACTGTTTATATTATCGTTATATATTTATGATTACATTTTCAAAATATTTATATACCATTGAAATTTTCGATTTTTTTAATTTTTTTTTTTTTCATGAAATACCGATAAAAAAAAAAAATTGGCCACTAAAAAATCTTTAAAATTTAATATATACTACCCTACTACAACTCAACGGATCATTTTATTATATTATTTTATAACCACTTATTTCTATTTTTAGTATTTGCCGTTTATAATATGTTATCGGGAATTTTATTAACAATTATTTCTGAAAACTGTTTATTTTCATTTTAAAATTAATACCATACAGCATAGATTCTTAGCCCGGGGTCCATGAACCCCTTGAGGGTCCGTAGATGACTCGGTGGTCCACGGGGTGGCTGTGAGTTTTTTTGAAATAAGCCAAAATAAATTTGTTTTGATAGTATTTTTAAAATAATTATAATTGTTAAAACACTCGAAAGCCATTTGAAAGACAACAATGTTTTTAAATATAAAACTTAGATTACGATAATCTTATATACAATAAAAAGCTATCGTAATCGTAAAATAATATAACATGGCAATATAATCTATGGAGCAGTTCAATTTAACACTGAAACCTATCACTGCTGTTGACCCGTCGCCGTATAATAAAAATTATATTTATTTACCTATACATATATTTTTTTTTTTTTGCAGGGGGGTCCGTGATTTTATTTTATGCTTTAAAGGTGTCCATGGCTAAGAAAAGGTTAAGAATCTATGGCATACAGTATAACAAATAACAATCTGGCTAATAATATAATTATTGTTTATAATTTATAAGTTATCGAGATTGTTTTCATTATATTTAGTTTTGGTAATCCAGTTGCAGTTATGTGTCGACTATCGAGTTGTTAGTGCCTTAAATATTCACATAAATAAATATCAAATATAATAAATATTATGACTCGAAAAAATATCGACAAAGTGTGTGATTATTATGATATTACCATGTAGCTGGACAATACTGTTATAGCAGTGGTCAAATCACTAAAAAAAACCAAAATTCAGAATATCCATCAATGCGTTAACAATAATATTGTTGATTAAATTTGCATAAAATAAATTTTAAATCTAAAATAAACATATTATATATTTTGGGAATTACAAATTATACCTAATAAAAGGCAAAATTATAATAGATACAACTATTTAATATTATATTTTTATTTTTTATAAGTCATATATTGACTATTTTTAGACTATTTTCTAAAAGAAGAAATCTTTTGTTTGTGTACATAAAATCAATTTAATTAATTTAATTGTAGTAGGTAGTAGGTGCCTATTATAGGTAATTGATAAATTTAAAATGTAGATCCTACACATTTAAAATTATTGAATAGGTACTTGAATGTATTAAAGTTGTAGGTATGTTGAATCTTACATTGCATTGCTTATATTATTTAGATACCTATACTAATACAATAATACTATAGCCATCCAAAGTAATTTGATCTTTCAAATTTAAAATTTCATCATCAACATTTTCATTTAAATTATTTGGTTTTCTTTCTCTATTATCGTTTGCCATCACTTAGAGTAATACACAAAAGGTTTAATTATATTTTAAAATAAAACAAAATAAATTCAAGGAATTACCTACATCATAACAAATATAAAGCGATGTTTATTGATTTATATATATATACTGCCCTCCTAAGCCAAAAGGCAGTAAGCAACAATGGAGTAGTTTTGAGAAAAATTAGTAAAAAAGTAAAATTAGGTATAGCCAGTTGAATAATTATATTGACGATACAAATAACTCATTATAAATTATATAAATATAACTGATATTGGTTAATAGTTTGTTCGTCGATATCAGTAGGCGGAAATTATCAAAATTGTTGTACAAAATTTAATTTTGGTTGTATAAAATTGTACAAAATAAAGTACATAATACTGCTTGATTACAATTCATGATTTTGAAAGTACGGGTGCTGGAGTAATGCACCTGATATTATGTATTGTAAATGTTTTTTTATTTGTTTAACATGAGTTGTATTTATATCACCATTTTTCTTTACATATTGTGATACCTATATGCATTTAAAAATATATGTATATTTTTATTTTACTAACCACTATTTATATGATAAAATGATATTGGCTTTATAATATTAATGGTTCACTAAGTAAATTATAAGCATTTTTAATGTGACTAAATAAAATATTACAGAATAGATATTCAAAAAATACATTAATTCAGTAAGTGTTAATAAAAAAATAATACATATGCAACTTGCATATGACTAAAAAGTTTCAATTACCATTCGTTTCGTAAAATTATAACCTCTAAGTCCTTTCAAATGTAGTATGTAAGTATTTTACAAGTAAAAAGATGCCTATTTTTTTTTTATTTTATAATTTTAACACGTATCAACTGTTTGTTTTACAAAGTTCACAATTGCTTGAGACAATCTAGAAAAATGTCTTTATTAATCCATTCATTTTTAAATACTAAGTAAAGAGCTCTTGGAAGTTCATCTGTATATAATAAAGGAGAGATTCTTTGGTGAAGATAAAATAAAATAGGGAGCATAATAGAACCAGATGCATTCATAGCACAAATAACTATTACATTTTTCCAACATTTTTAACTAGAAACAGATCCTACTGTTCTTTAATCTATTGATGCCATTATTTTACCTGGATCTTGTACAGTATAAATACCAGTTTAGTTCATATTGAAAGAAATTGAAGCCGAGAATTTAAACTTTTCCATCACTGATTCTGAATTGTGAAAAAATAGCTAATTAATTAATTAGTTAATAGTTAAAATAAAATAGTTAAAGTTCTTCTTTATTCAAAATAGTAATGCAAGATCAACTGGAAGACAATAGTTTTCTTACATTAACTCTTGGATTACGTTTGACAAATTTATAAAACCAACTACTATTTTCCTACTATACGTTTTTCAGTCTTAAAGTCAAGTTTATTATTATTATTTTCAACAAAATAAAATCAGTTTCTCAAAGCTGAAGAGGAGTTAAACCAAAAATAAATAAGCTATATTTTTAGTATGTTCAGCAATGGCTTTTCTCCATCTGTAGTAAATGTAGCTTTGTGTTCCAAAACTGGTGGCATATTTTTGTCTAGTTTTATTCTTTCTCGCAGTGTACTGAATGAAAAATTTAAAAAAATTAAAAAATTGTATACTAAATGAATTATTAGATGCTGCTTTTCGCATACTAGTGACCATTTTTTACTGCCTGTATAACAGCTGCTAGATCTCATCTAATGACCAAGAAGCTCGGTTTGTTTTCTGACATATGATCAAGCCATTTAAAATACAACACAAATTTAATTAAAAAAATAAAAAAGCACATTGTATAGAAATAATGTGAAATTTTAAATCGACAGTCAAAATCGATCAGATATATAATTTTGAACGTGATCGTGGTTACCTAATCAGTTTTGACCGGTATTGGCCGACTATAAATAATTTTTAATTCCATCATATCTCAATAAGAGACCAAAGGTTGTAGAACTGCAATCATATTAAAATACATACAATTTAGCATAAAACATGTTAATAACTAATTAAATGTAACAACACTTAGCATGATTTTTTTCGAAGATCAAATATTATAATTTAAATGTTGAAAAAATAAAAACAAGAAATTTTATTATCAGATGTTTACGTAATATAGCAGAAACAATAATTTTAGGCTATCATACAATAATAAATCATATGTATGATAAATCGGATTTTTATCAATATTATTATTTGAGGTATCCTATGTTTTTTGCTTGATGTTTTTGTAAGATGCTATAAAGTAGTAAGTCAGTTTTTTATATTTAAATATAAAAATATATTTTCTTTTATGAATTCTGGTAAATTAATTTAATTGTAGGCTACTATACAAATAACTGCAACGTCATTGTTTTTACTCGTGACTTAAAGAGACATAATCTTCCCGTACGCCTGAAAAGGCAAGAAATGTACATGTTATTTAATCTATCTTTGTGAACTTATTATATCATTATAAAATCAAACTTTAAATTTGATCATGATAATTAAATAAAAACTTATGAATGATGAATGCAAAAAAAAATGATAAAATATTGACCCATTCCAAACAGTTGGAGGACTACG